TATGGTCAAACCTGTTGATTCCACCTGTCTATACCCTTGGTGATTTAGACACTAGTCAGTCATTTACTGATTTACTACCCTTTCATAATAAGGGAATGAATTCTGTAGTTTAGAGAAAAGACCAAATTGTGATCAATTTTAACAGCATCAGATCTTTTGATTCTGTAAGCTGGAATAATATCTAGATCAGGAATAGTTAGTATTCTGTGTTTTTTTTTTCTTGTAAAAGGCCAGATAGTGATTTACATTAGGCTTCACAGGCTAGATGGTCTGTTTTGCAACTACTCAGCTCTGCCATTGTAGTGCAAAATCAGCCATAGACAATACTTAAGTGAAGGAGCCATGTTCCAATAAAAACAGGCAGTGGACTGGGTATGTCTCATGGGCTATAGTTTGCCAGAACTTGATCTAGATTATGCAAGTTGCAAATGGGTACAAAGGCAGTATTTCCAGAGTTTGTTAGCAATTTACAAATAGGAATTGAACACTTTCACTAGAAGCCATTGTGAAGATAAAAAGTGTATACCCACAGAAGTAGCTGATGGCCGGGCATGGTGGCTCATGCCTGTAATCCTAGCACTTTGGGAGGCCGAGGCAGGTGGATCACTTGAGGTCACCGGTTCGAGACCAGCCTAGCCAACATGGTGAAACCCCGTCTCTACTAAAAATACAAAAGTTAGCTGGGCATGGTGCTGCATGCCTGTAGTCCCAGTTACTCAGGAGGCTGAGGCAGGAGAGTCGCTTGAGTCCAGGAGGCGAAGGTTGTAGTGAGCCGAGATCATGCCACTGCACTCCAGCCTGGGCAATGGGAGTGAAACTCTGTTTCAAAAAAAAGTAGCTGAGGTTTGTGGCCAGTACTTTTTAGGGTAAGATTAGAATTAAAATTCTGTCTTGATAAAATAAAGAAGCAGTAAACTAATAGACCAATACCGTTTAGTGAAAACAAACTGGACAAATAAATAGTCCAGAGAGGACTCTCAGATAAGAATTGTCAAATATTTGAAGAAAGCAGTGGAATCTAATTTTCTGGAGAAATTTAAATTGGAGAGCATTTAGTCTTAGTTAAGTTGGGCAAACCTCTTTCCACAGGCAGTGACTAAATTAATACCTTCACATAATGTCTTCCAGCCCAGTGATTAGAGTACTTTTCAAAACTGGTTTATTGTGCATGAATGTTCATTGCAGTGTTATTCATAATAGCTAAACAGTGGAAACAACTTATATGTCCATCAACTAATGAAAAGGTAAATAAAATGTGGTCAGTTTATAAAACAGAACATTATTTGCCCATAAAAATCCATACTGATATTTATATGCATGCTACAGCATGGATGAACCTTGATACCATTGTGTTAAGTGAGCAAATCCAGATGCAAAGGACCACATATTGTATGGCTTCATTTACTATATGAAATGTCAATAATAGGCAAATTCATAGAAATGGATAGTAGATTAATTGTTGCCTGGGGATGGGGAAGGGGCAGAAATGAGGTGTGATGGGTATTGGGAATGGGCATTTTGAGGGAGGTGATGAAGATTATGTTCTAAAAGTGGACAGTGGTTGTGGTTGCACAGCCCTGTGAATATGCTAAAAAACCACTGAATTGTATATTTTTAAAAGGTGAACATATCTCCATAAAGCTGTTATGAATATAAGTTTATGTTAGTTGTGTAATATCTTTGTCACTTGAAATATTTGTCCCTTATGGTCTGTATGTATCTTGACTAATTTGAGGCAAATTTGGCTATCATCATGTTAGGATGCTTATGCTTTAATTATGGAACCTCTGAGTTTTTCCTTTTTATGCTGTTTCAGTGAATGCCCCAGCCCTGCACACTTCAGAGACTAAATCTAGTCTGCCAATGGCACAAGGTAAGTTTCAGTAATAGCCTCAGCGTTTTATGTGCAGTTGCCACCCGGAGTTAGATAACTTATTAACCAAAAGTGATTCTGTGGAGGTAATTTATAATAAAACAGGAAACATTTTAGTGATTGCAAAAACAGTTATTAAAACTGCAGTCTTCGTGTGTAATACTGTTGTAAACTGGACATATCCTCCAAAGTCTTAAAGTATAAAAGGTGTAGATAGGTATAAAAGGTTGCCAGACTCACAAGTAGAGATTTTAACTTGAGTAGTGTCTTGGTTATTTATGATTTTTGTGGAAAGCAGTAGGTGTTGGGTAAGAATGGTCTGCTACCAGACCAGCCAACCAGCACATGCCACAGGGCATATGTGGCTGTTTTTATAACTTTCAATGTGGCAGCAAGTCACCTTTTCTAAACAAACGGTTTGAATGACTGGTTGGGAAAATCTAGAAAAGACATGTAATGGAAACTAAAGGAAACAGGTAGGAAGCACTGGGTGAAATCATTGCCAGGGTTCAGTTCTTGGACCAGATCAAAAGGGTGATAATTGTTATTCACATAATCCAATAGACGGGCTGAATGTTTGTAGCTGTATTTCACTTTTTATACAGTTAAAGTGATTACAGTTTTTATAGTATGTACTTTAACATGATGTTTTCCTGTGGTCTGTTGGATATTACAAATGCATTAAGATGGGAGAAGGGCCATCTTTTTCCTGTCTCACATACAGTTGCTGCGGAATCCAATGATTACTTCAGTCTTCTTTCATTTTTGGTCTTTTAAAAAGGTTACACGTAAATCCATGATCTAACTGGTCAGTATAGTGGCACTTTTTGTCTTCATAAATATCGTGGTCTGTATACCATGAACTTTAGTAATAATCCTTTTTACTCATGACTGACTCATGAAGTGTTTATTGCACCTTATTTTTTTTCCCGAAGATCATTTCAGGTGGATCAGTTGTCTTGAGTATGTGATCACAATATGTGATGTATAAATTCTCCACATATTGATCTTCTTATTTACAAGTGTTTAGAGCATGCAGTTTTTTCCTTTAGACCAGTAACAGATAAAAGCACATTGGACATAAATAAATTTGCTTTAATATTGAATGTATAAGAAAAGTATCTAGCAATCATTCGGTATTCATATTATTTTATGTCAGGTCTAAAATCTCTCTATTGCGTCCTTTTGTAAAGCACTACTGGCCACTTCTCTTTTGTACTTCAACAGTGTATTTTAGTTTCTTTTACTTCCCCGCCCCTCTACTTTGTTATCGTTAGCTTTCTGTATGACATTACACAAGGTCCCAGTTTCTTTGTCATATATTTTTGTTGCTAACTAAAGGACACCCCCGTAGGTACATTAAGCTGTCTGGGGTTAATTCAAGGGTTTGGACAAATCGATCATTTCTAAAGCATGTGTTCTTGGAGACCCTACCCTCACTGGCCCAGAGCTGCATGAATCAGTCATGCCCCCTTCCTGGCATCTGCTGGGATTGAAATGCTAGTTTTAAATGCCAACCAGACCTGGCACAGGGCCTACAGCCCTTGGATGGGGATCAAAGCTGATTTGTGAGCATCTCAGTGGGCAGGAGCTAGGAAGAGACTTGGCCAGGGCCCGCCAACGTCCCCCACCCCATCAGGCCAGCTTCCCCAGGGCAGCAGGGGCAGGGCAGGTTAGTCATGGATTGCATAATGTTTATTCGCCCGTTCGCTCTCTGTCCTTTGTTCCATCTCAAAGCTTGATGAGGTTCTTTACCATGAAAAATCTTGCGATTCCTTACCATTGTGGGTTGAGTCCCCTGGGAAACAGACTGATACAGAAGTTTACAGGTGGGATGGGGGGGTGCCCTCGGACAGCACCTGTGAGAGAAGCAGTGTTGGGCGAAGGGGACGTTAAACCCAGGTGCAGCTGCAGTGGAGGCCTCAGCCAGCCCTGCTTCAGAGCTGCAGAGCTGGGATGAGTGCTCTGGCTTGTCCTCCACTGAGGCAGGGGTGGGGGCCATTGCCCCTTGCATTGATTTCTCATCTGATGGGGGCTGCCCTGAGGAGAGAGTGAGCTAAAGCAGCCTGGAGGGAATTCCACTGTAAGCTGCTAGGAGCCAACCTTGCCAGTGCTTCTGTCCTGATAGGATCTAGGTAAAATGGGAACCCTGATGGCTCCCTGCTTTCAACTCTGCTACACAAGCTGAACAGTACAGGCAGTAGGTTCTGATTCAAAGGCAGTTGATAGGATGAAACACGGGTTCTGGAGAAGATAAACAATCAGGTTCTGATTTGAAGGCAGTTGATAGGATGAAACACAGGTTCTGGAGAAGATAAACAATCAGGTTCTGATTTGAAGGCAGTTGATAGGATGAAACACGGGTTCTGGAGAAGATAAACAATCAGGTTCTGATTTGAAGGCAGTTGATAGGATGAAACACGGGTTCTGGAGAAGATAAACAATCATGCTTGATCCCCATCCCCTAGTATGTGTTTTTACTGGACAAACCTCAAATAACTTTTTGTAGTATTTTCACCACTGGAGACCACTTTGCTCTTTGCTCATGGGGTTGTGACTAAATGGTGGTATTAGGATGCCCAGTAAATAAAGTAGACTTTGTTGCTGTTAACCTGACCCGTACACCAATTGCTTAGGTTGCCTGACCTGATAATATGGCCCACTTTTAGAGCGACGAGTGCAGTGAGGATGCAAAATAACCACTTTCCCCAAAGTCTATGGGCACCTGCTAGGTTCCACCTACATGTGAAGCCCTCCTTTAATTTGGCCTATAAATTGTGAGGGGCTTGTGTATACATGACTTTAATTGTATATAGCTACAATGATGACCACAAAAACTGGAAACTTTTTTTTTTCTTTTTTTTTTTTTGAGACTGGGCATTTCTCTGTCGCCCACGCTGGAATGTGCTGGTATGATCATAGCTCACTGCAACCTCAACCTTCCGGGCTCAAGTGATCATCCCACATAGTTGAGACTGCAGGGGTGCACCACCATACCTGACTAATTTTTAAATTTATTGTGTAGACAGCATCTCATTATGTTGCCGAGGCTGGTTTCAAACACCTGGACTCAAGTGATCCTCCCACCTCAGCCTTCCAAAGTGCTAGGACCACAGGTGTGAGCCACTGCACCCAACTTACAAACATTTTTATTAGACTTTACAATTATTATGTTTTGCTCTCACAGCAAGTATTCTACATCTTGAAATACTGACACTTAACACAAGCAATAGTTGATTGTCCAATACATGACAGGTGGTGTGCTCCAGACTTCTGGCGTATTGTGTCTCTTGATGGAAAGAAAGATGGCTTCCCCCACTGGACACCACCGGCCCAAATAGTGTTACAGAAGTGGGATGGAGACTGTTGAAAGGAAGTCTCAGTTCAGTGGAATTCCACCCTCTAAAGGAGAATGGGCCTGTTCCCTGTCAGGTGACCATGCTTACGTGCAGTCACAAGAGGAAATGTTTGGATATGCCAATAAGATCTCCTAGACATATATCCTGGAAAAGCTCAAAAGAGTCTTCAGTGAACATGTCTTTGACAGGAGTTAACATGCCACGTGTAGTTATCTGTTTCTCTAGTGGTGTTCCGCCACTCCTGCTTTCCTTCCTTCACCGACCACTGGGTAATGACAGCTGTGGGCCACTCCTGAGGGTAACGCCAAGGCGGGCATGACAGAGATACAGAAACGAATCAGAAACAAAGTCTGTCCCCAAGGAACTTATAGCTTATAAAGGAGACCACATGTTTATAAATATGGTGCAAGGTGAGAGCCACTGAGAAATGAAATGGGTATCCAGGCAGGGGAGAGATTTTCTCCATTTGGGAGACTCTGGGAAGACTTCCTGGCGTAGCTGATATTTGGCCATTTGAGCTGAGTCGGAGGTGAATATGTTGGGATGGCATCCTAGGCAAAGCCAACAGTAAGAAGGAAAAGGTGGCAGGAAAGCAGTAGATGTGTATTAGCAGTGCAGAGTAATTACTTGGCCACGCATAGAGAAGAGGAGGAGACGTGAGGGAAGTGAGGTTGGTTGAGGGTGTTCATGGCAGCTGTTGAGTGCCAGGCGGCAGCTGTCCAGGGTCGTTCTTGGGGCAGTGTGTAGCCGCTGAGTGCTCTTGAGGCTGGGTGTGCAGAATTAGAGAGCTGGGCTATGGGAGGCTTGGCCTGACCAGAGCGTCTGCAAAGAATCTGAGCTGGGGAGACCAGTTGTGGGTGTGGGTGATCCTGCATTTGAGATTCCTCCCCAGGAGTCTGGGTTGTGGTGACGAGAGTGGAGAAGGAGTGGACAGACCAGCGGTTTGGTGGAGTTGGCAGAAAGGCTGAGCACCTGATTGGGGACCAGGGCCAAGGCCAAGGAAGGTCAGAGCACAGTGAACTCTGATAATGGGTGGACAGCGGTGGCATTTGAAGAAGTCAGGAAGACAAGCCTAGTGAGCGCCAGTGGGCAGGCATCATTGCTTTGTGGCCAAGTGCCCAGACTTTGGAAGCAGGCAATCCAGATTCACAGCCCAGCCCTAAGCTGTGGGCTTAGGGACTTTTCCTACCAAGTGCAGAGAGCAGCCATGGCTACCGTAGTGGCCATTGTGATGGGCCAGCAAGGCACAAGCCACTGAGTAAGCTCTGGCCAGTGTTAGCTTCTAAGGTGGGCACAATGAAGTCCCGCTGAAGTCAGCCAGGGACAAAAGGGCAGGGCTAGTTAGAGGACCAAGAGCCTTTCTTCTGGAGACAATGGTAGGAAACTGACAAGGATTTTTTTGAAAGCTTTAGGCAAGTTCACGGGAGACTCAGACCTCTGAGTGTTTTGACTCTCACCCTGGATCTCAGCTCAGGACAGCATTTTAAGGTGGTCTTACTCAGTCATAGGCTGCATTCCAGAAGTTCACCTGAAAGTAGTTTCAGATGCATTTCTCCCATACAGCCAATGTTACATACATTGACTAGGTTGCTGGCTAAGCTGTAAGAACCTATTTATATATACCTAAATCTGTCTGTCTGTTTCTCTTTCTATCATCTCTCTATCATTTATCTGTCTGAAATAGAGTTCTAGAAATACCCTTTAATGAATAAAAAACAGACCCTTTAAAGTGGGAAGCATTAAATTTGAGATACCACACATGTGGATCCCTGCCTGGCCACCTGATGAGCACTCAGTAACTGTTGGCCGTTTTTACCCTGGCTCGTCACCCACTCCCAGGTCTGGTGGTAGAATGCAATGACCTCCCACTTGGAGGTAAAAGTGGAGAGCTGGTGGGGGGAAGTGCACTGTATCAGTCTCCAAGCTGAAGGTGAGTGAACCATGCACCAACTTTGCTAGTTGCATTTCATTCCATGCCTAATGCCTGACCACCATCATTAAACCTTCACTCAAAACCTGACCTTCCCCATGAAGGAAATTACCTTCAGTTGATGGGATAGGGTTTGGTTTTATGCCTGCTGCTGGCAGGTTTCCTTGTGTATACATATAACATTTCTCTGGGAATAGTCATCCAAAGACCTCATCTCCCCTGAGTGCGGTTGACGTTCTGGGGTGAGACTGTGAAGAGTCCTTCCTTATCTGCCCAGCTGTGGGGCCAGGGCATTCTCCAGCCCCGGAACTAGGTCTTGAAATGTATCCATGCAGGTGTCGAAGAATGACTCTCAGTCTTGCTGCTGACTTCTCTCCTGTCGTTCCTCTTTTATCTTGTTGGTCTTACCACTTGAATACCATGGGGTTAGCACCGGGAACAAGTGGGAATCCCAGGGCCTTGGGAATTATTTATTTTTTTGTAGTTGAAATATTTTCATTAATTTTCTGTTTAGCCACTTGATCGAAATACTTTATAAGTAATGAAGATCTTTTGCAGTTGTGCCCTTGTGTCGTAAAAGGCTATTGCGTACTAGGTTGATGAATAAGAAACTCTAACTTAATTATTTAAAACTATACTTTCTGTAGAGTTTAGTTAATGGAAAGTACATAGAAATTGAAGATACCATGAAAAGGTGACCATCTTTGACTGATTGCCTCAACATTTTTTCCTCAGTAAATATTTGCTATTTAGGCATGATTAAAATGCTATGGAATTATATCTTTCTAAATCATTTGAAAGGAAACTAATGTTACTTTGCTGTTGTCCTGTTTGTACTGTTCTTATTTTTCCTTGTTAATAGAACAGGCATTCTTGTCGCACATACTGGAACCAATAGAAGAACTTTCAGAGGAAGAAAAAGGTAACAAAGGGCTTGATCAGGTTTACCTGCACATATTATATTTATATATCAAAACCTAGGCCTGGAAAATATGAGCCAGTGGTTTTTATTCCACTACATCAAAACTAGGAAAGACATTTAGATTTGGATTTTACTTCCAACCCACATGGAGTATTCTGTTATCCTATTCCCCTAATATTCTTTTCTGCTTTCCCCTGCTTCACAGTATTCTTGTGCAAGCAGATAAGAAATTTTCTGTGTCAGGGAACTTGAAAAATATTTAAGTCTTTATTTTAATGCAGATTTTTCTGATGAGATGACATGTTGACGCATACATGTGTACCAGATGATCTGAAAAGATTTGTGTCATAGTGGTGATTTATCATACCCTTAATCTGAAATGAATTGGTGCAATGCTTATTTCCAAATTATTTTTAATAGCAAGAAAAGCATAATGTCTAAGTTCTGGATGTGGAATATTTATATGCAAAACAATATCTTTATGGTGGAATTTGGGAGCTGTTACGGGTGTTGGGAGATAATTATTACTGCTTACTCATTTTATTTGATAGTCCTAAAAATTATTTTCTGTTGATCAGTTTTTAAAATTTATGAAGAAAGCTTTAATTATAAGGAACATTTTCTAATGCTAGATTTGTAGATTTTGAAAACAATTATATTTGAATCAATTCATCGTAACATCGTAACTTTTTCTTATTAATTATAATAATTCACCATATATCACTTCTTTAGGAGAATTGTCATATATCACCATATATCACTTCTTTAGGAGAATTTAAGCAAATTGTCAATACTTATATGGATTCTGGTTTTGTCAGTTTTGTCAGGAAGAGAAGTCAAATGATATGTATTCTAATATGTAAATTCAATATTTATTATAACTCTTCCCTTGTTCTCTAGACATTTACCAGTTTTTTTTTTATTTTTATAAGGCTACAAATTGAGAATTCACTAGATCAGGCATATTCATAATACCTATATGAGGTATACTTTCAAGTCTAATCTTGTTATGCTAGTGATCAGTCACTTGTTGATGTTTTTATGGGGTTTGTTTATTTTGCTTCCATGTATCTTTGTAATTTGTCTTGACTTTGTATATTTTAGACAGACCATTTAGCTTAGGATTGCATATCTTCCTGTCCCAATAGTTGTTCATGTTTGGCACTGATTTTGAAGAGTTTGGTTTTAGTTGCTTCATTTCCTGCTTATTTCTTTGTAATTGCTGTTCCAATGTTTAGAAACTTGCTTCTTTCAGAAACAAGAGTGACTATAGGTGCATTAAATTACAAAAAGCCATAAAAGCTTGTTGAGGGAAATTTTGGGGTACTGTGATGAGCAAAACTTTAAAAGATATTGTCACCTTCTTATGGGGTCCTCAGCCTTGTTCCATTGTTAAGCAAATAAATTGGGGTGGGTCATTCCCAGATACTTCTGGCACCTTCAAGATGGCCACAACCCAGGCATCAAACGAGATCCTGCAGGCTAAATCGATTCCACAGACGCTGATTTATTCAAGCTGCAGTGTTGGCAAATATTTTATGATTGGTTGCCAATATTTAATTGTAGTGCAATCTACACAATTTAATTATCTATTGCTACGTGATAAAGTCCCTTCCAACTCAGAAATTCTGGTTGTTGTTGTTGTTTTTTAAATTATTGGCTTCGTGCCACAATACAATACCCTGGAAACCCTGGGTCATGGTCTACTGAGCAACATTTAGCAGGGCTGAGCCGCCACTGCCGACTGTGGAAGCAACCTCCGGTTTGCCATAATCCCCCTCAACTCTTTTGCCCCATGTTGCCTTCTTTGCTTTATGTAGGCATTTGAGCTTCTGAGCCCTATAAAGTTGAAGAGAAACAGTGCTTTAAAAATACTGGCTTTAAGTGATTTTCAACCAACCCTGTTGGTTTCCCAGAAACGGGATGAACAAATCTTACCCTATTTGAGTTCTGAATAATGACACATCATTTTGCTTGCAAGTAACATGCTTCCTCTCTCCTACATACATATCATTTACTGATGTCCAAGACATACAATCCCGTATTCTTTGAAGAATCTGTGAAACATGTCAGGAGGTTCATAGAAAAGGTCTCGTAATTTCAAAACTGGAACTTCAGGTCATGTAGTTCACACTCATTTAAAAAATGACTAGTGAGGGTTCCTATAGGAATCATGATTGTCCACCATCACCCAGAGTGGTCTTCTAACTTCCAGTTCCAGGTTTCAGTCACTGCATCCCTCTGCCTGTGCTTTTAGAGTTCTTCCAGTCAATGTAAGAGGGTAGCTTGGAATCACTGACAGCAAACACCACCATTGGTTGCTGCCACATTTAGGGGGCTGGACTGGAAAAGAAAATAACCCTTGCCATGCTCCATGTGTACAGCTCTGGCAGTAGATAGGAGAGTGCTGAGGATCATGGAAAATACCTCAGGGTCCACGTGCACCGCTGCAGAAACCAGTGACTGCCTCCTTCTAGCACCTCTGTGGAGTTAACATACTGGCAGCAGATTAATTGCCATCAATAAATTCCTCAGCTTGTGCTAACATTTTGCAGATAAGTGCTTGCGAAGCTCAATTTTGGCAGTGATTTGCAAAAACACTGTGGCCTTTACTAAAAAGTAACTCACACACGCATATTTCTGTGTACCTGCTTTTTGAGCAGAGGCATATTTGATCTTGCTGTTTTATAGATGCTAGAATGTGAGGGCCAGAAGGGATCTTAGAGGCCATTTTATTTTCCAGAAAGAAAACATAGGGGGATTAAGAGCCTGCTTCAGGTTGTTGAGTTTAATTAGTGACAACATCCAGGTTTTCTACTGTCCATAGTTTACTGCAGAGAGCAAATGGAGAAAGGGAAGCTGATGTGGCCTCTACAGGACCATCTGGATGGCCTTTGGGGAAGTTACTGTACTGCTGTTTCTAGTATCCTCATGCGAAAAATCGATCATTACTAGGTGGTAGATAAAGTCCTTTCCAACTCAGAAATTCAAGGATTTTAAAAAATCATTTGCTTCATGCTACAATTATTTGTTTACCATAAATGGGATATTGTATGTCTGATAAAACTGATCCCATGTATGGACTGTTGTGCATTAGCCTGGCCATCTGCTTGCTTGTGTTTGAAAATTTGTATTTGAAGGAAATGCTAGTCTTTAGAAAGTTTTGCCTTGGTCTTGGTGAGCAATATGTGCTTTAACTAAAATCTTCAGCTGTGGTTGATTTTCAAGTGATTAATTCCACTTCTACTTAAAAACTTTATTTTTCCCTGCCTACTCTACGTTCTTTCTCTTGCTTCCATTGGCCAGTCCCAGCCTTGTAAGAATCTTTACCAAGGGTGCTGTAGTTATTCATAAATGATTTCCCAAAGCAAGCACCAGTATATAAGGTGAATTTGAGGATAGAGGGAAATGCTTAATCTGCAGTAGTTTGGGGAAACTCAGTCATCAAAATGAACCTGTCATCAGAGTTGAGGGTGATCAGAGACACATCGGCAAAGGAATTCAACAACTAACAGCAAAGGCTTTACAGCTCTTCTAACTGCGGCCAAGTCATTCCAGGCATTGCTTGCCCCTGTATGTGGCCCCCAGTCCCAGAGGAAACTGGGCCCAGAGCCTCTTTTTAGGCGATGCTTCTGTGTATGTCCTTCATTATCTGAGATATTGGCCAAAAGATTATTTGCATAATTGGGGTAGGGGGTATGTCTATTTCAATGGTGGCACCAAGACTTCCAGGCTGTCTCTTGGTGCCTCTTTTTATTTTTGGCCCTAGACAGTTGCACACTTGATGGCCACCTAAAAGCCAAAGCCAGCAACATAGTGGCTGCAGCTATGATTTTGTAGAAGTGCTTTTTTTGGTGGTTTCAAAATATTTGTAAACATTGGTGGTTAGACAGCAGCATGATTGCTGAGACTATACAATTTAAGATTAGTTCTGACTTTTAATATATAATTATATGCAGTTTTATCACTTCAGCTTAGCAAGCTGCAATAGCAAAACATAGAATAGTATTTTTGTGCGGGGTTTTTTTCTTCTATTTAATGTACAAAAAAGTAATCTAATTTTGCTTTCAGTAAAACCATCTATTTATGTAATAGAAATATTTTTTAATGTGGGAATTGAACTGGTGTTTAGAAAACATCTTAAACAAAAAGACATTTTGTTCAAGATCTCCTGCAAATCCAAGTACTATGGGTATTAGGAATCCCGTCTGCTGAGATGGGTGAGGCAGCAGTGAAGGGAGAGTCTCAGACGGCCTGGAGCCCTACACCTAGGAAATGGCATTTGATGCCATCCTTTGGTGGGCAAAATGCCCCTGCTAGGAGATTAGGCTCCAAAATGGTAGTATAGTTGTCACATTTCTCCCAGATTAGGCTTTGGACAGTCAGTAAGGGTCTGAACTGCCAAACATCGCATCTCTTTAATCAAGTCTTTAGTTCCTTTGTACATAAGGACTCAGATTTTTAAAGGTCATGCCATCATTCTTCTCCAAACTCTTTTGAACTTGACATTTTTTTTAGTGGAGAATAAAAAAGGGGTAGGGATGGAAGTGAGGAGAGTATGTCCTGTTGGTTTTGGTTTCTTTGTTTTTAATTACAGGTTGTTTTAAACAAAATACACTTTTGCTAATACTTTTGTTATCCTTTTTCATTTTGGTAAATATTTTGAGGGGGATAATGATTTTCACATCTTGAAGTTTTATATGTACTTAGCTTCTAGTAAACTAAAAAACTTTGAAAAAGTGTTTTTTTTAATTTAAAATAAATTGAAATGGGGCCTCACTATGTTGCTCAGGCTAATCTCAAACTCCTGGGTCCAAGTGATCCACTCACCTTAGCCTCCGAAAGTGCTGGGATTACAGGTGTGAGCCACTGAGATGGCCAAAAACTTTTAATTATTTAAAGTAAATTGGGCTTTTTCTTCATAAGATGATACGTAAATTCTAACAGAGTTAGCTTAGAGATGAATTTTTCAGGAGATAGTGATATAATTCTAGTGATAAAACATTAAATTCCTAAATAATTTTTTTCATCATGCTTCTATAGATACATATATATCTATAGTTGTCATCTGATTAAGTGATCCAGAGTCTTTAAAAATACTGAAGTTTTAAAGTAGACATAAAATAGTTTTAAAAGCTACGTAACTTAAGCATTCTGTATTGTGCTGAGTGACTAAAATATCCAAAAGTTTTAAAACATCACAAATACTTACTTGCTGCTTAAAAGCTGTGCTTTGTCATTTTCTGCTTAGAGATTTGATGTATTTGCTTAATTCATTTTTTAACACATTTTTAAAACCTGATTTCAGGAAGAGAAAATGAACAGAAATTAAATAACAACAAAATGCATTTAAGAAAAGCTTTGAAGAGTAACTCCTCCCTCACTAAGGGACTAAGAACAATGGTGGAGCAGAACTTGATGGAGAAACTGGAAACCTTGGGGATTAATGCAGTATGTTCATTCATTTTTGGAATATTTGTTAGTTTTACTATATTTTGTTTTCTAAATTAGAAATGATCAGAGAAGAGAAGTAAACACATCAATTCTGTCCATGTTTGGAGACCAGAGGCTAATGTGACCTACTTTATTTATCAAACACTTGAATAGCACTCACTGTGTGCCTGACACACTTCTAAGAACTTAACAAATATTAACTCATTTAAACATAGAAACAAATCTCTGAAGTAAATGACATTAGTATCTTGACAGTTTACAGAAAAGGTAAGTAACTTGATTAACGTCACACAGCTAGTAATGAAGGAGCCAGGGTTTGTATCTAGGCAGTCACAGTGCTGCTTACATTCTGATATTAACCTCAAATCATTGCCTATTACAAAACCAGCACTTCATTAATACATGTTGAATGAATGGATGAATAGATACGATTTCATATTGTTGCCAGATTGAATAATTTTGGTATATCCTATCATATAGATTTTTTGCTTTTTCTATTTTTATTGACATACATAAAAGACACAAACCTTAATTGAACTTCATTAGTTTATATGTATATAAAAAAGTGCATCTACATATGCATATATACATATATATGCAAAGCTTGTGAGCACATATGCATGCATGGGCACACACGTGGATGTGTATAGTGTGTATGTGTGTATGTAGATATGTATATATACATGTATGTATCTGTGTATATGCAGATATCTGTGTATGTGTATACACATTTGTGTATATGTATGTATATAGATGATTGTGTATGTTTTCAGATGTATGTGTATGTGGCTATATTTGTGGATATACATGTTTGTATACTTTTATGTATATAGGCAGATTTGTATGTACATGGATGTATGTGTACGATCTATAACCAGCACCCAAATGATGAGATCGAACATTTCCAACACTCTGGAAGACTCTCTTTACCTTCTCCTGTCAATATCACCCCCTACTTCCCAGTTGGAAAGAAAGGGTATTCTGACTTAATTTTGCTTATTCTTGAACCTCAAAAAAGTGGAGTCATACACTGTGTAATATTTTATATCTTCTTTTGCTTATGATTTTATGTATATGATTCATACTTGTTCTTTCATGTGGCAGTAGTTCTTTATTTATTGCCTTATAGCATTCTATTGTGTGACTATACTGCAGTTTATCTCTTCCCTGCTGATGGACATTTGTGTTTCTATTTTGGGGCTCTTCTTGGCTGTTAATTCTTGTACATGTCTTTTGGTGAACATGGGCATTTGTTTTTCTTGAATATATATCTAGGGATGAAATTGCTGGGTCAAAGGGTAGGCATATGTTTAGTATAGTAGGTGTTGTCAAATAGTTTTCCAAAGTCTTTGTACCAACTCACACTGTCCCTAACAGTGTTTGAGAGTTTAGTTGCTTCACATCTTTCATCAACTCAGTCTTTTAAAATTTGCACATAGACCCTTTTTAGGTGGGTTCTGACCACCCTTTGGGCAGTGGAAATCAAAGACATTCATCCTACACAGATTGTTTCTTGAAACTGTAGTTTTCCATATTGATTGTTTGCAAGTGGCTTTTTGGGTTTTAATTTTAATTGGGACATTTTCTTTTATCCTAAGATTATTAAAACTTTCTTTTTTTCCCCTAATGCTTGGAGAGGTTTTCCTAGTTTTTTGTTTGTTTTGTTTTGCCTTATTTTGTTTTTGTCTATCTGGGCTTTAAGAATTAGGTTTTGAAACAGTGATTTGGAGAGCTAACTTAATTTCCAGTTGGATCAGGTGTCCCCATATCATTTGTTGTATAATCCATTGTTTCTCCATTTATTTAAAAGGACACTTTTGTCATATAGGAAATCCCTATATATATTTGGATTTGTTTTTGGACTTTCAACTGTTTTACCTTGGTTTTTGTGTGTTCCTTTGCCCACACCATACTAATTTAATTGTAGTGGCTTTGTCCTGTGTTTTAGTATCTTTTATAGGCCATGCCTTCTTCATTAGTCTCCTTATTTCAAAAATTTACTGGTAGTTCTTCCATGTTTTGTTTTCCAATGAACTTTAGGAATAACTTTTCAACTCCCAGAATAATACTTGTTGGGATTCTGATTGAAATTGTTTCCAGTTTTGTATATTAAGTGGGAAGGATTGACATTTGTACAGTATTAGGCCTTATCCTCCAGCTACATGGTATAGGAAGATAGGCATAAAACAAATGATTGTCCAGACAACTGGGAGATCTCCAATTTAGATTGTATGAAGTGAAATAAAGGAAAAGTAGAGGAGGGGGTTGATTGAATAACTGAGGTCAGAGAAAACTTCTTCTTGGAGGTGGTACTTAATCTGATGATGCAGATTTCTGTCCTGGGCAACTGGGTGGGTGGTAGGGCCAGTACCTGGGACTGGGAAGGCTGAGGGAAGCAAGGGGTATGGGGACAAAGATGATAGGTAGCTGTGTGTGTGTGAGACACTGTTATTCAACAAATATCCCTTTAACTAGTTTTCTTCTGTCTAGATTCTCATCAAATCCAGATGACTTTTCTCATATTGTCTCTTTAATTATGCTGTTTGCATAGTTAAAAGTCACCTGTAGCCGGGTGCGGTGGCTCACGCCTGTAATCCCAGCACTTTGGGAGGCCAAGGCAGGTGGATCACGAGATCTGGAGTTTGAGACCAGCCTGGCCAACACGGTGAAACCCCATCTCTACTAAAAATACAAAAATTAGCTGAGTGTGGTGGTGGGTGCCTGTAATCCCAGCTACTAGGGAGGCTGAGGCAGGAGAATCATTTGAATCCGGGAGGCGGAGGTTGCAATGAGCCGAGATCGTGCCGTTGCACTCCAGCCTGGGTGATAGGGCCAGACTCTGTCTCAAAAAAAAAATAAATAAATAAAAATAAAGAGAGAAAGAAAGTCACTTCTGATGCTCTGATGACCTATTGTTCCTTGTAGAATAACCTTTCAGCCTTTTGGGTTGGCATTTAGTCTCTTCTGCTGGTTTCATCACCCAGGTCTTTGTAAGCATTAACCTGTGGGATGTGCCTTGCCTGTTTCTGCCTCGACACCTTCCTTTCTCACAGGTGTCCATACCCCATGCCTACCCATCTGGAAATTTCTCCTTGTTTTTACTTGTTTGACTGCACCTGTCCTTCAGGCCACAGCTCAGCCTTCCCTTTCAGGCTTCTCTGGCCACTGGGGCCTTCGATGGCCTCTCTCCCTGGAATTCTTCTAGCCTTTGTAGACTCATTGGGTTCTTATGACACATAGCCTCGTTGGTCAGCCAGTCATAAACATATGCAAGCCTTATGTGCCCAACTGAACTCATGGCCTCTTTGGGGCCAAGACAGTGTGTTACTTGTTGGGGCACCCTCACCCTCTACACACAGCTGGAGTCCTGTAAGGATGGATTGAAATGTTGGCATAGTTAATGCTGATATATCCCCATGAAATGAAACCTCCCAGGATAATTGGCCAACTTAACATCTTATTCTTTCAGGATGTACATGGCATTTCAAGTGATCAATTGCATAGAGTACTAAAAAGTGTGGAATCAGAAAGACATAAACAAGAAAGAGAAATACCTAACTTTCATCAAATTCGAGAATTCCTTGAACATCAAGTCAGCTGTAAAATTGAGGAGAAAGCACTACTATCTTCAGGTAAGCTTGTTACCTACTGCAAATGGGAGCTTAATTTAACAACTTTTTCTTTTTTCTTCTTTTTTTCACCACAAGATATCATTAAATTATTATAATTTTAAATGGTTAACAAACTTTGCCACTTCATTGACAACTCTCTTACTGTTTGTACTATTAAATGCTGGGTCTTGGGTTTTAACAACAACCCTAGACTCTGGCTTTAAACCCTAGAGATGGGATTGTTCATTTCCACAGCAGCATAGGGGGTATTACACCGTTTACCTTTGCTTTTCACTTACTGACCGTAAAGGCAATGGAGACTCATGAATGACACTATATTCCAGATAAGTACAGTGTTTCTCAAATGGATACCCTTTCAACTGGAGAAGTACCCAAAATGATACAACTTCCTCCCAAAAACAGACAACTGATTAGACAAAAAGCTGTTTCTACTGATAGGACATCTGTTTCAAAGTGAGTATTTCAGCCCTCAGATTTATTTTATCAATGTTTGTCTTAGCTCAGGCTGCTTTAACAAAATACCATAGAGTGGGTGGCTTCACAGAAATGTCTTATATTCCCATTTTGGAGGCTGAAAGTCCAAGATCAGGATACCAGTATAGTCAGGTTCTGGTGAAGGCTCTCTGCCTTGCAGACAACTGCCTTCTTGCCATGCCTTCAGATGGTGGAGATACAGCGAGCTTTGGCCTCACTTCCTCTTATAAGGCACCAATCCCATCATGGGGGCTCCCATCTTCAATGACCTCATCTAAACTTAATCACCTCCCAAAGGCCCACCAGATACCATCATACTGTGGGTTAGGTCTTCAACATATGTATTTGGAGTGGGGGGGACACAGACATTGAGTCCATAACAGTGTTTGGTCCACCAGAGAATCACACTTGTAATTCCTACCAGTCTCTTGTTGACAGTTGGTGACTTTTGTTGCTGCTCATCCTCATTAGTATATGTCAAAAGCAAAACTCACCAGTTCCATGGAAATGTATCTGAAATTATATTATTAACTTCTGCAATTTAAAAATATTTTTCTGTTGTTTTTTAGAATTAAGAAAAATATCATGGAAGATCATTTTCCCAGAAAGTCTTCAACTATTACGTGAGTACTGATGGGGATGGGAGGGTCATTTTAAAAATTATTTTCACTGAACATTCCTTTCATTTTAAAGTAGTATGCTCATTATGGTTGAATGAAGCCATAATTATTTACTATCATAATTTGTCCCTTTGTGATATGTTATTTGTGACATGTCTTTGTGTCTTTATAAGTTAGTACATAAGTCAATAGCCCTTAACCACATTGTGGATTCCATTAAGAAGAGAGACACCTGAGTCATTCTTATATCCACCCCCTGACAATGTTGAGTAATTTCTCAATAAGTACATTTAAATTAAATGGCTGATGTTGAGTTTTTATGCCTAGACCTGTGACAGTGTAAGTTTGTTTTAAATGTAATAATTTCGGCCGGGCGCAGTGGCTCAAGCCTGTAATCCCAGCACTTTGGGAGGCCGAGATGGGCGGATCACGAGGTCGGGAGATCGAGACCATCCTGGCTAACACAATGAAACCCCGTCTCCACTAAAAATACAAAAAAATTAGCCGGGCGTGGTGGCGGCGCCTGTAGTCCCAGCTACTCGGGAGGCTGAGGCAGGAGAATGGCGGGAACCCGGGAGGCGGAGCTTGCAGTGAGCCGAGATGGCGCCACTGCACTCCAGCCTGGGCGACAGAGCGAGACTCCGCCTCAAAAAAAAAAATAAAAAAATAAAAAAAATAATAAATGTAATAATTTCGTGTTCCAGTTTTTTGTGGAAGTTAATAATGACCCTAGTAGCTCTTCCTCTCTTAGATTCTCTTAGGATACTAAAAACCCTAGCTCAATTGCTCATCACCTGTGTGCTACTGATTTAGTTGATTACTGTTTTAAGCTTGTTTTCTTATCTGTAATATGGGATATTTTAAGTCCCAATTTCCTTATCTGCAATATGGAATAATGCTGCCTTTTTCACAAGAGAGTTCTACAAATTAAATGGGAATGTATGAAGAGGGCTTGGCTCAGTGCTTGGCACTTGTGGGTACTCAATAAATTCTAGGTATATTGTTACTGATTATGAGTAAGACTAATTTGATCATGAATAATTTAATCATCATTGCCTTATTCTGGAGATATTGATGACATAAATCTCTCTTCATTGAGGCACTGTGTATTAGAGACAATAAACTGATTCACCCTTCAAAAGCACTTTTCTTATACATAATCTCATGGGAAGAGCATTATTTCTTGGGATGTGGTGTGAATGAATCAACATGTACAAGACTGACACATTGTCTGGAATTTAGGTGCCCAATAAATATTATTTAAATGAATGAACACTGCTTTGAACTTCTATTTCACTTTAAAATTGGGGTAATAATTCATGTGATGATACAAATGAGATTGTGTATGTAAAAGCTCTTTGCAATAAAGTGCAGTATAAAGAAACTGTAAGTAATGACACAATTTTAAAAGATGAGTGGTTATACTGAGGAAATGTTTTTCTTTGAGAAATGTTTTTCTTAGGTGTATGAAAACCAAAATTATTAAGAATATACACATTTGGGTTTAGAGGAGACAGGCCCCAGCTTCAGCCCATTTTGATAAACATGCCCCGTTGCTGGCAGAGATCTGGGCGTGGGAGGATGCTTCAGTCATGGGTATAACCTCTGGCCTTGCCGCCATCTTGGTCATAACCCCAAAAGCACTTGTGCCCACTGGGAATTACCTGAGAAAGGTGCCACCACTTTAAGAGGCATATCTTTTAATATCATAAATCCTGAAGTGTTACGAAAACAGCGCCCCTGTCTCGGTGTTGATTTGTGTAGGACCCCTCCCTTTAGTTCAGAGGAGGAGCAGGAGGACGACGACCTCATCCGGGCATACGCATCCCCAGGCCCACTTCCTGTGCCACCATCGCAAAACAAAGGCAGCTTCGGGAAGAACACAGTGAAAAGTGACGCGGACG